GAAACCTCGGGTCGTTTTATTGCGGATATTATGCCAGGGGCACACATATTTGCTATACATTTTCCGGTTGAACGTGAAACACGATCTTGAAGCGGAGAAGACCACTACTTAGAACGGAGGTGGCTCGGCGTGCATCGGTGGATGCGCCGCGGAATCGTGTTACCAGGCGCAGCCGGTGAGCCTTATGCGGAAATGGATTGTAAATAGAGATAGAATCGGCGATTAATATAAATATCGCGGTCAGAAGAGCCGGGCGAGGTATCCACCTCGAAGAAGGGGATTTCAGTTTCCAGAAATCGCGCGCGGATTCGTCTGGGATCGGTGAATATTTTCAGTCTTAAGTACTCATTAGGATCCCCGTTATACATGCATAAATAATTGCGCCCGTAATACCGCGCGGCGTGTTTCGCCATGTTCGGACCCCGAAGAATGCTTAATAAACGGAATTTCGAAAACCGATATATCGGTTCCGCGGCCCGGCCCGACGTGTTCAGATGAATCAGTTTTTGTTGCGTAAGCCAATAACGTTTCTTGCGATAATCTCGCGCATAGAAATGATAATAATTTATATAATTGGCTTTTACGATAATTTTTTATTACGCTCTAAGGATGCAATGAAAATCTGGTACAAATAACCGTTCCAATGGTTCTGTAGTAAAATTGATCGTGTCCTCATTAGGCTGCATCAAAATCTATATAAGATTAGAACGCCGTAAAATTGATGAGAATCGTAACGGTCGCCGCTTTCCAGTGACACGAATATTTTACATCAATCCACCGGAACATATTCTGCCCAGACATTTCACTTTATTTAATCAAATATGTACTTTCTACGATCCACACTAGAAATCGCGTAATGAATCAAGCCCGTAATATCATCCGAAGCCGCTCGTCGGACGGCCGCGCGGCGCAAAACGACAGAGCGGACTGTTAGCTTGGCCCACAACTTAATTACAACACGTGTTCGTTATCGATCTATGCAAATTCATCGATATCTATAATCCCGCACTTCCGGCAAGGAAATGCGTGCAGTCGACCGATAAACGCCCAGATCTCTCGGACGGTCCGCTATTGTTTGTGCATTTAACGGTAACGTTCATTAACGGTGTACCGGTTAACGGAAAATGTTAGTGTAAATCTTCAGATCTGAACGATCGAGAAATACTCTTCGCCGCTGTTGAAGATTATTTATCGTGGAATTGAAAAGATCCATTCGGAGGATACGAAGATGTTACATCTACGCTCATTAATGTCGGCAAATCCGGGAGAAATGAGTCTTTTCTAAAAAGAACTATTATATTATAAACGTCATTGATAACCGACAAAAGAAACAAATGTTAATGTAAGCAAATGTATATAAGAAGTATATTTAAATAAACTTCTGTAAGAAATTCAATATACTATTAAAACTAATGAAAAACAGATAATTGATAATCTAAATGAGATCGGAACATCTCACTCGGAATTATCATTTGCGTTATTATCATAAATTACATTAATAAACTAATTTTCTTCGATGCAACAAAATTTCTACAAACTCCACTTGCGAACCACTGCAATTTAAAATTGCTTTCTAAATTACATAAAGAAACAAAGACTTCAAGCGAGTCTTTCCTATGAGCATCGCGTCAACATAGGAATGGTCTATTTATAGATTACATCATGCGTACCGATAGAAGCTGCTTTGAATTATACATAAAACTAGCGTTTTCTATTCGAGTCATTGTTGTATCCTCGGATCAGTCTCGGGGCTCATTAGACGCGCTACGTATGTGCGCGACAATTACGCAACAGTACCGCACGGTTTATTATGCATGCGGGATGCGCATCAGATCGCATTCCGCTGTGTGCGTCGCATATGAAATCACCCATTGGATCGTGGACAGAAAGAACCGTCAGTTCCGACAAAGTTACAGACAGTCATTGTTACGGTCCCGACAGTTGACCGCAGGTAATTTGTCGGAGAGACGTTAGATTCGAGTTACACAAAAATTCGCGATGTTCAGGTTAGTCCGGTATCCTTGACCGAATAACATATGAAGAAATGATGTGATTTGAAAACGGACACGTGGTCCTTGACGGTTGCGTCCTGCGACCGGTATGAGAACATTTTCGGCGATCGTGTGCTGCGTAGCCACCGGCTATTTCTTGACTACTAATCCTTTATTTGGCGTCTTACGTTCGGACGTAACGGAATCTTTATGTCTTTGACCTTGACGCTTTCAAAACCGAGGTTAGGATCGCGGGATAATAGAGGGTCGAGGATAAGGCCACTGTACACAAAGTGTATTGGATGTAAGTGGATTAATTCTAGAAACATTTATGTCTACGTCGAAGCGAACTTAAAGAATTCAAATTTGAACTCGAACAGGAATTTTTCTCAAACTATTAAATTCTTCTCAGGATTGTTAAGTGTGTACAATAATTCTAAGTTATCGAAAATCGCGATAGTAATATTGATAATATCATAGACTCCTTCTGAAGATAATTAACTGCGTACAATAATTCAAATAAATCACCGAAAATTCCGGTTCAAGTATTCCGCCCGACATCAAGTCGAATAAATCACAGCGTTTTTCTTTCCCTATCGGAGAAAAAGCTTTTCACGGTATAAAAGCTCTTCTTGTCATTACTCTTTCATAAAAAATAGCTTTCCGCCGACTCCGGTCAAAGGGAAAGGAGCACTTCAACTTTTACCCTCTAAAGAAGTTTCCGACCTTTGAAATCCTTTGAAGCCCGCAGGTTTTCTTCGAAGCTTTTCCTCGACCCTAGATTCACGCGGAATCGATACACAAAGAGTTCCTCGACCGGCTGAGAGATTTCCCTTTGGGCAGGTGTTAGAGCGAGGTCGTCTGGCAGGTAAGAAAAGTGGTGAGCTATCATGTTCGGTTGCAGAAAAACCGCCATTGCGGCGATTCAGCGGACCCTCTCGGTATACGCCGCGCTACCGGCGTGTCTTTTTCGGAGACGGTGACGCGAACCCTGGTTAACTTTCCCCCGAGGGCGTGCTCTACCCCTAACGAGAGCTCATTGAAACTGAAGGGCACTCCTCCATTGAAAGGCGCGTTCCAATTTCATTTCCTTTGGCGATGCAAGCCTTCGCTGGGTAACTCGGAATCGATCATTTGGAAAAATGTCGGGGCCATCGGCAATTTATCTCTTCAAGAAGGAAGTTCTCGCGGCGAAACGAAATTCTGAACCCCAATTAGCTGCCCAAACTTCGGACTATTTGACAGAATTAGCGTTAAACGAAATAAAGGAAGATGTGGATAATTATGTGTTAATCGTTGGATAAATTGAGATCAATTCGATAAGATCGTGCAATAAATTGAGTTTGAATATTCAAACACGTTAACATGTGCATCAATTTTTTGAAAAATGCAATCTAAAAGTATAATGTTGTACGCTTGATTTATTGTATTTTATAGTATTCTACGGAAAGATAATTGTAGTACTTTATGCAAATTTTAAGTGTAGCTTTCATAACTCTGCTGAGTTTCAGTTGAGCATTGTGTAAACAGAAACTAACGATGTGTTTTAACTGTACGGATAGTTCAGAGTGAATGAAGTTTATAGTTTTTTAAACTACGATTATTATTTGTTACATGACTAAGCCCGTGAATCATTGACGATTTTCCCTGTGCAATTGCATTAAAAATTTTTATCCCGACGTTTTGCTCGTAACGCGAAGTTTACAGTCTGCGCCGTGAAAAATCCGTGGGACTGATTAGCAGCGGTAATTTGGTGTTCCAACCTGTAAAGGAGTGCTGGACTCGACAGTACGTCACCTGGCGTTTCTTACAAAATTAAAAGCCGGAGAAGAAAGGAAGAATCGCGCGACACGTCGAAGCGCTGGCGCGGCTGCGGAACATCCGCCACTTAACTTGTTACTTCGTCCTATCCCCCGGACAAGGTTGCCTCGCGAAATTGCTCGTAATTCATATTGTCTCATTCCGGCGTAACGGTGCATCCAATCAACGCCAATCTTACTTCGGAAACGCTGAGTTGTAAAAACGAGCAGCCGACCGACCGGCCGGCCGGCCAAGGGACACGTTCATTGTCCGTGTCGCCGTTCGGAAGGATTATATTCAATATCACTCTTGCGCAATGATGCCTTTCTAAGATAACGTGATTAATCCCTTGACGAGGCTTGCGTAATTTGACCTTCACCTTCTCTTTCAGGCCAGCTCCAAAAAATGTTGCGAAACAAGTTTCGAGAAACGTACTTCGTACGTGCATAATTTTGCATTTTTCATAGGATTCGCAGAATGTAATTTCTGTGAACTTGAATTACGACCTAATAAACATATCAACGCGTTAACTAAAATTCTGCTTCACCTCAGTTTCATAATAGTTACCCACCAACGTTTATGCACAAGAACTCCGCTCATTATTGCTGGAGCTCTTAATTGCGAGCAGTGATTTCTTTTATTAGTATCGATGTATCTTTCAATTACCAGTGAAAATCATAAACTGTCAAATACTGGATACTATCTATTTTTCTATCCATATTCTTAAAACTGTTAATTACTCAAATTAACATTTTCAACCTAAAAAGAATACCGTGACATAGACAACAAGCGGAGACAAGTTCACAGTAGTGCCCTAGCACAATACTATTAATAAAAAGAATTTTATCCCGTCATACAATACGTCCTTTACCTCATAATAACAAAAAGTTCGTAAAGCCTTCATTGCAAAAAAAGCCCCAAAAATAATCTGACCAACTTTCAAATACCATTGTATATTGGTCCGTACGGGTTCAGCTAGATGAACGTGGAATAGTAATAATGTAATTCGTTCAAATGATTTAATATTATATTTTCTCCATTCTGCGTATTTTCCTCTGCGAAATCGTGTTCAACGTGTTAAACAATGATCTGTCTGGGAACTTTTGAACGCCACGATATATTACTCCGTTAAGGGTTAAGAATATTAGCGAAATATTTATTCAAAACATCCGCAGTGTACTAATGATAATGCAACGCGCGTCGACTCACCTGAAACAAATTGTAACCTTTATCGTACATCCACATCTCGTCGGCTGGATGCTCCTTAGGACTCTCCCGTTGCCCGGCGTTCAGAACTTGAGGAGGCGGACCCCTGGTCAGCTGAATCGCCAAGGACCTTTGTAGGAGCAAGAGGCATCGGGATGGTCCCGAGCCCCCGGGGCCCGTTCCGTCTCCCAAGATCGAGGCCATTTTTTTCGGCCCGCTGCTAACGATTCCGACGACTCGGCGGTGGCATCACGGGTTCTGGAAAACAGAAAATTAACGTATCCGTCAGATTTCTTGCCTCCGCCGTTTCTCATCGATCTTTTTCCTCGCGCCTTCTGTTCCACTCTGTTTTGCACGATTTTTTCCGCCGTCCCAATTTGTTCGCCTGCGTTCGATACGGTTTACTATTTCAAAGCGTAATGCTACATTCGTCGGGTTTTACTGCCTCCCATTCGACTAACTCGATGTGTTTATCTCCGATCGTTATCGATACTTTCATTGTTGTAGGAATGTTCGAGTTTCCTTACAGACGATAAAGTACGTAACGTAACTTTTCGCGTAGATCGATAAACTAAATCGAATACTCCTTTCGTTCGTTAACAATCTAACGAGGAACAAAGATAAATTAACCTTCCGTCGTTTCCTTTTCTTAGATTCAATGTTGATTCTACGATTCAATTTTAGTCTCAATTATTATATTTTCTTCAGCCCAATAAATCTAAGAAATATTAGAAAAATGAAACTGAGACGAGTCATTGAGTTCCTAAACGCAACGTCGTAGTTTATAATTTCTAATAACAATATCTGTATTAATTCCATTTTCATTATGTAAAGTATAGAATTACGACCATTACAAATATGTGACGCTGGTGAACGCGTTGAAGACGTAGTTTCAGTGTTTTGCGCAGGAAAATATGGAAGGAGGCTTGCTCTTTTTATAAACTATCAAGTCCCCGTTTCTGTGGTAGCAAGTACAGCGGTATTACTACGACAAAGCCGGCAAATCGTTAACGTCGGAAGCCTCGAAGGGAGAAGTTTTCCCCGCAGGGAAAACCCTTCTCGCTGATGCAATCACGCTCCCTTCACAGACAATTCTTCCAAGGCAACGTGTTCCGGTTTCATCCCGCAGAGTTTTCTCGAGACATGTCTCTCCTTGACGCGTGTATTTTTCGTAGATGAGATTCCTCGAGGCCGCTGATGACCGAGAGGGTGAGTGTAAATCAATTAGGCGCTCGGTCGCAGTAGTTGATACAATAAAGAGAGACGTGACGCCCGCCTTATGGCCCTCGGGAAATGAGGGAGGATACGTGGAGCAGAGGGCTGTGCTACGTGTCACCATGGCGGCGAGCGTTTCCGCGTCGTTCTCCATGTTTTTTTTGGGGTTGTGCTCGCGAATCCCGTTTTCACATTCTACGGTTCCTTTAACACTAGAGCTACCGAGCATTTCATACGATTGAAATGTAATCGCTGTGAATATTGTAGTAATAGATTATTTTCGGTTTCTTCAGACATTCATTATAGTATTCAAGTGAAACTATTTATTTCCAAAGCCATTTCGAATATTCAATGCTTTGAAGATATCAATAATTGCGAAACAGAAAAACTGAAATCAGTCGTTTTTACTGGTACGGTAGTTTTAGTGTTAACTCTTAACACTAGATTTACGGAGTCAATTTGACGCGTATTGAATTTGTAACAGTTGTAAACACTATTTAGTACGTCTTTACGTCGGCTTTGATTGATAGAATTATACCAGTATGTATTTCAATTATCTAGTTTTAAACCTCTAACTTCCAAAATCCAAATGAACGAACAAGAATTTTTCTAGGGGCAGTACGATAAACAATAAATGCAGAAAGAGAAATAGCAGTTGTCTATAGTTTCAGTGATTGAACATTGTAATGCAATTAAAAGGTACCTAAGTTTGATATGTTTGGATATTGTAAATCATGCACGAAAGAAAATGCAAGTGAATACAAATTTTGAGTCTAATAAGGTTAGTCCTTTCAGCATCGGGTTATGGCATTTTTTCTATAGAATTTTTAATGATATTTCAATTATATACTGCAAACATTAAAAATAGAGTCTGCTTCATAATCAACTTTGAATATAAATTATGTTCACTATTAAAAGGAATGAAGTTTCGAGAGCAACAGCTGAATTCAGCTGAAAAAACGAATTAAAGTGAAGTCTTTCAGAAAAATATTTTCGAGATTTTCTTCGTTTAAAATCTCGAAAGTCTGGAGTTCTTTGAACTCGACGTAGCAAAATATCCCCTTAGGACGTGAATGTCCGTAATGGCGCTTCCGGATAAATTAAATGAAATTATTAAAATAAAGAAAAGGATAAATCTAAGTGTATTTTTTGTTCGGAACAGACTTTTCATGGGACCGGTACCGCGAAGCACTCTCGGCGCAAAAATGCTCGAAAAGTCGGGCAATTTTCTGCGGAAATAAAATCCGCCGTCTATAATTATGAAGATAATCATCTCGCTTACAGTTATACTAACCGACAGAACCGCGTCGAACTCGATCTTTAAACGACCGAGACGTTTCCCGCGGAAGAGTCCGCGGATCGGCTCGCGTGCGACGCTAATTAATTTCGAACAGGATCGTCGTGTTTAGAGGGTTCGATGAACGGCGACGGTCGTCCGGCATAGGTTCACGACTTAATAAACAACGAACGGATGAAAAGTAACGAACAAACTGCAGAACTCCACGAAAATTCAAGTTTTTAACACTGGAACTACCGTACCAGTAAAAATGACTGGTTTTAATCTTTTTGTTTCGCAATTATTAATATCTTAAAAGCATTCAATAATTGAAATGATCTTGAAAATAAATAGTTTCGTTTGAATACTGTAATCAATGTCTAAAAAAACTGACAATGATTTATTGTTACAATTTTTATACGAATATATATTAATCGTATTCAATGCTCGGTAGTTCTAGTGTTAAGCAATTGAAAAAATTAAACTACGAATTAAACTGTGGAAAACAGTTTTTCCTTACAAATATTCTAAAAAAACTCTACACTTCGAATATTTTATATAATTTTTCGTGTAATATGCATTCTACGCGATCTTCCACTTCCGAATTTTCCATAATTGCATAAAAGTCCGCAGTCTAGCAATGATCCCATTTGTATCTCGAGAACGAACGCAGCTAGCGAAATGTTCCACGCATTCTTGTCAACGCGAGACGAGTTTCTGCATTCCGTAAATGGAAGACTCCGGTGATCTACTTTTAATGAAGAAAGTCATTGTTAAATACCTTGACTTCATTGTTCGATCTGAAGCGAACGACCTTTCAGTATTCTTCAATTCTAGGGAAAATGAAAGTCGCGAGGAGATTCGCGAAATTAAACTTATACAAAGTTTAATTCAAAATGCTAAATATTCAACTTCACAGTTCGATAGACTAAGAGTCGCTTCTCGAGTGCAAAAGGTTTAAAATTAATCGCAACGTATTAGGCTCGGCTTACTCTACTTACACAAAGTTCCACAACTTTTTGAACTTCCTGGTTCGATAACTCCCCTTGTTCTAGAGCTCGGTGTACAGTGCGTGTGGAATGACCTCGGATTCCACCGTCGTAATCTCCGTTTAGGGCTAAGAGTCTAAACGATACCATTCATACCGAATCAGGCACACTTATCGAGATTCGGCGCGTTTATAGCGGAGAGAAGTTCCTCGCAACTAATGTAAAGTGGCGTTCCAACGGCCGTCGAGGCCGCTCTCGGGCCGAACCAAGGCGATGCGTGCATCCAGGCGCGCGCGAAACTTTTGCGTGCCGCGGATAACGGTACGGTGAACTCGCCCGGCGTTATCTGTCCGCTACGTAATCGCGAATAAGCGTTATCTCGCGGGAAAGCTCGAACGTGGAAAAGAGAGGACCGCCGGGAACTTCGGAACGCTGTCCGACCGATCTGAATGGACGTGCTGTAAAAGTGGGACCGGGGCGAGAGAATTTATCGAGGAATTCCAGAAACTGTTCGGCTGAGTTGCAAGTTCGAGTTCCCGGCTAGATAGGCCCGAGAGATTAACACTTAAGCAACCCGCAGAGTTGCTGGCTCGATTAAAGAGCACCACTACGAATATCGTGGAATGTGTCTACAGACGCTAGGCAAACTGGTATGCACATCAGTTACGAAGTTTCACTTTCGGATTGTCGCGTGTGGAAGTTGAGATGTCGTTTCGATATTGATAACCTGGGTGTGGTGAACTGATAGCTCCTTCCAATCTCACATTAAAAGGTTGCTAATGAATTACGAAGATAATGAGAAACATTACTGGACTCTGAATGTTAATGAAACAGTATTAATCCTTGGGTGTCGTAGATATCAAGTTAATCTTACATTCCAGCAAGAGTAGCAATGTTCGATATACGTATGTGAAAATCAATGAAAAATACTACTTTCGAGAATGGAATTTTATCCAGTGACATTTGCTATGAATACGTAATGATACAACCTATTTAGCAAATCGATTACGGTGTACGTTGCAATTAGCTGAATGTATAAATGAAAGCTCGCCAGTGTACAGGGTGTACGACAGACAAATCTGAAGGCAACGTTCGTGGCCCATTTTAGCAGAATGAAGGGCTCATTTGCATGAGATTTTCGTGATCACGTCGGCGTATTGATTCCTCGGGGCGCAACGTTAGAAGTTAGTCGTGATAGCGTGAGGATCGCGGCCGTTGAATATTACATCGCTTCCCGGCGTGCCAAGGTACACGGTTCTAAAACGCCTGTAGCCCTTTCCCGATGAACAGGACGGCCGTAAATTTGGCACGAAAGCCGCGGCAATTACGGTCGCATCGAATTGTGGGGCCTGGAAGGAATCAACGAAGTAATCTCGCGCCTTTGGCCGCGGCCCAAGACGCAGTCGATCCGGACCGTCCCTCCCCTGATATAGTGTTGCAGTTTGGCCCGCGCCGGAGAAATTGGAGCGCCGGAATCTTCCCGGGCGAATACTTTCGACGAACTTCCACGTCGTTTCCGACGAGCCGGATCGAAAACGTTCACGGCGCGCTTTCTGACGTTTCCCGCGAAACAAAGGGGAGAACAAAAACGACGCTCCAACGTTTTTACCGATGCCGGTGTATTTATGCGCGTACTTTCCCGTGGCGCACTGAATTTCGCTTTTAGGGTGCAGTTGCTGCGATCGAGCGGAACTAGCGAATCATGCCCGGCGTCTAGACTGCGAATTTTTACGAGATTCTCGAGCTCTCATGACGTCGCTTTAATCGCAGAGGTGCAT